GTGCTTGGCCAAGAAAATGGAGCACGCCTCAAAGGAGCAGGACAGATATTAAAATGAATTCGATCCCACAACTGGTGAACACCACCTTCACTTGTGCTCCCAGACCCTGACAGTTTAGGAGAAGTTGGCTGGCCGCAAGTTCGATAAAGCGACCGAGACCCTCTAGTTGCAAGTTGGCCTTGTAGAACAAGAGTTTACCTGTAGTTCACAGCAATTCTACTGTCAGTGGCCGCTCCAATCCAAGGATGGCGGACAAGATAGGATTGCAGGTCACCGACTTGTCGGCTAAGTTTGATGCTTTGTCTGATCTTCAAGGCCAAGCTCTCACTGGGTCCCTTGAAGAGAAACAAGAAGACATCAAGGCTATTTTCGCTGAAATCACGAAGAAGGACGTGGCTCTGAACAACACTCTCGTCAGGGCCAGGCTGGGATGGAAGATTTAGAGATTCCAAATGATTGGCCTAAGCCTGGAACATCCTGGACCCCCCCCTTAAAAGCAAAAAACATATTGCCGTTCTCACAAGCCTGCCGCAGGAATGTGAAGCCACCTGCAAAGCCTGCCCGCAACATTTCAGAGAGCAAGGGGGCAGGGGGAGAGAAGGCGGCGCCCAAGCGTAAAGCTAAGGCAGCTAAGGCAAAGAAGCCAGCGTCCAAAGCGAAGGCTAAGGCTGCCCCAAAAAACTAGTTTCAATGGCTGGGTGAGAAGGGTCTAGTGTCAGCTGTCAGCCAACTTCAACCTTTGGAAAGCACGTGTTTCTCAGGTATCATGACCCTGCTCCCAGTTGGCTTTTGGCCGTGCCCTTCATTTTGAAGCGCTTAGTATTGCGCTAAACAAGGATTGGGATTCAGAAGCGAGGGGAATCGCGATGAGATAGCTGGGAAAAACACTCGCTGAACCGTGCTTCTCTTCTGCTATTTATTGTGTTTCGGAAGCCTGCACTGCCCAGACAATACAATCAATTTTCTAGAAAATTGATTGTATTGTTTCTTGCGGTGTGAGATGCATGCATGGAGGTGCTGCGCCTTGCTGTCCACAGAACATGGACGCGAACAGCTCAGGCGTGGCCTGAGCAGAGTCGTTCATGTATGCGAAAGTCATTATGTCCAGGGTGTCATGGCTTGAACTGGTCGAGGTGAATCGGAATCAGGGTCTGATTTGGTGGATGAGCTCTTGGTGAGTTTCGAAACAGGGGCACCTCGGCAAGAGCCTCGGGGCTCCATTTTGGACCCGCTGTTTTGGGGAGAAGCTGGAGAAGTGAAGTCAAAAAATGTGAAATGAAACAAGATTCAGATCTTCATCCTTTGGAGTCTATCTCTACTTGGCTAGCCTGGCTTGCTTTGGTGCGACCTTCAATAAATTAAGATTCATGTGTCACGGCTCTCTCTCTCTCTCTGTCTCTCTCTCTCTCTCTTTCCTTTGTTTCTTCCTTACTCTCGCTGTTCCTATTTTTCTAAACGGGGCCGACCCCTGGACCCCCTCAAGTGTGTGTGCGCACCTACCCTGGATGCGAATGGCCGGTTCTGTGGTGTGGGGCCCGGCGATTTCCAAGGCAGAGAGCGCCAGAAGAACTGTGCGCATAGCTCGCGTGGCCAGCCGGCGGATGAGAAAATTGGGACCCTTGGTATATCGGTCTGAAACAATTTTCATTTATCATCCGGGACCTTCCATTGATACCAATAAACTTGGGTATGAGTTTTCTTTAAGAACAATCTTTGTAAACAAGCTGAGGAGATAGATCCAGTGCTAGAGGAAATTGGAAGGTGTGGGCGAACGTCCGGAAGAGGCAAAAATTTGTCTCGCAACTTTCACGCAGTTCTTGACCGGTTTCAACGAAGGATGAACGTGACGATCTCCACATGCCAACTCACTCTCAGAACTGGGTGGCCAAAGCTGAAACCAAGTCAGGTTCATTACCCATGGATCTCCCTAACGTCCTGGGCAAAGTGCCTTTTGCAGAGTGAGCCCCGCTACTTGCTTGGAGGGCTCAATGACCTTTCTGACTTGGAGGCCCTGACGGTGTTCACCACCTTTTGGGACAAATATGAGAGCTCAGACCCGAGCCATCCAGTCTACCAGGAGTTTTTGCCAGCCGAAAGGAAATTCGTAATTCCTATATGCCTTCATGGTGATGAAGGCAGGGGGAAGAACTTCCATCCAACGTTGGTGCTGAGCTACCAAGTGGTAGTGCATGGGCGGGGTCTGGCCTACACAAACACTTCGGGGTGACTCATCTTTGCCTAGCCCAGTGAACACGTTTACTTTTAACCGTTTGTTTGCGTGCATCATTCCAGCATTCCCGAAGCCAATTTCTTCTGACAACTAAGGCACAGTTTTGGGACAAGGTGGCTGGCGACCGTCATATCCTCCAAAGTTATGACTCCAGCGACGTGGAACCAAATTCACGCCGAGATTGCTGAGGATTGCTACAGCCTTTTTTACGAGGGCGTGTCAGCTGCTAGGCCTAGAACTCCAGAGTGGTGCTTTTGTCATTTTTAGGGTTGGCTGCTGCAGCTGTCTTCTGCGCTGGCTCAGGTTGGGGAAGCAAAGTTTTTCTTTGCCGTGATCGGCGTGAAGGGTGACTGGGTTTACTTGCGTAAGGGACTTGGCTTGGCGACAGGGTGGAAGTCAAAGACCAGGATTTGCCATCATTGCACAGCAGTGGCCTTCTGGCTACAAATTTGTTTGCAATGTGGAAGATTTACACCATGTTCTTTCCAGTGAGTTCAGGGCTAAATGCATGTACTGGCTAAGCTGCAGGCTTGGTGGAAGTTTGGTGCATCTTCTGAACTTCACCAGTGGAATGGTGAAGTGGTTCCACCGTGGAAGCAAGGTGTTGCTCCTGCGCCTCTTCGAATGATTCCGGGAATGGACTCAGCTCTCCGAGTCCGCATTGACATGGCCCATACGTGGGCGATCGGCGTTGGAAAGGAGTTTGCAGCGTCATGCATAATACTTCTTTGCCAACTTGGTGTTTGGCCTCGGAGATCAATTGGTGGCCAGCTTGATTGTGCCTTTGAGCACTTCCAAACCTGGAGGCACTTGCACAAGGAGACTTGCAAGCTGTCAGAGTTTAGCTTGAAGACGTTCAAGATCCAGTCGCATCCTGGCGGCATTCAGACATGTGCTGTGGACATTGAATTGGACTCATCGGCCCACATCGCGCCACGCAGCTTAATTGAGGCTGCAACAGTATCCTGTGCTTGGCGGCGCTGGAAGCGATTGCATCTGCGTTTGCAAGTGGTTGGCTTGTGTACTGGAGGATGACAGCTTGAAGCCAGCTTTCGCCGCTCCTTGCCAGTAAAATATATCGACCAATTGAGATAGACAATCTGCTTTGGCTGTAGTTGTGTCCGGGACCGAAGTTAGGTTGAAGATGACGAACATCTTTGGGCATGTATGAAGTACACAGCTTGTGCATGCAGCGCTTGGTTCCGTGGCCTCTATGCGAATGGGCTGTTTTTGAGTGCTCACGTTGCCAAGAAGTTGATCCCATATGGCTGGGCTCTGACAGCTGCTTGCAGGCATAGTTGTCACACGGTGTGAACTTTGCTCTTTTTAACGTAGTCGTTTCACTCGTTTTAATTCCTTTTTCTTGCATTGTCGCTGAGGAAGGCTACGGCTTCTTAGCGTCCATGTGCGCGGAGCGCGGGTACTGCCTCTACCGGGTGAAGCCCAAGCTTCACATGCAAGAACACTTTCCGAATCTAATTTTGAGTTTGGAGTTGTGAACTTTTTGTTTGGCACGCTATCCCCGCTACTGCTTCTTTTGGTGCAGACCTTGTTCAGCGGTGCTCTCCAGCTCAGGAAAGAGTGGGAGCTCCAGCTCCAAGCTGGGGCTGTGTGGCTATTGAATTTTTTAGCCTTTGCATGCTGGCAAGACGAAGATTTTATTGGCAGAACATGCCGGGTATCACGGGCCACACACCCTTTTACCACAGGCCCACGTACCATCTTTCGATGTCTGATGGCATACAAGCGAATTTTGAAAAGAGAGATTCGACGGTAGTTCGGAATTCTGCACATGTCCCAATCCCAAAACTGTGCCTTAAAACCTATAGCTATGCTCTAGCTTGAGACCGGATCTCTCGATCAATGAGTGACTGAGTGCCCCGGCCGTGCTGAAAGTCCAGCGCAGATAGTGCATCAGGTTGCGAGGTGGGTGGTGGGAGAAGGGTAACAAAGACCTTCAATTGATATCCAAAATCTTGCTCGAGCACTTTTTGGGAAATCGTCCTCTTTTAGTGAACTCGTACCAAAAAAACTCGTACCCAAGATTTTGGTATCAATTGAAGGTCAAGGGAAGTGAAGAACTTGCGTTTTCGCGAGGATCTAAGATGGTTCCAGCACGTTCCAACTAGTTAAAGTGTTTGATCCACTTCATCTAAGCATGATCCCACAGTTGAAAGTCTGAGTTGTCTCACTTGAGAGCTGCACGAATCAGACGAATCACCTTTCCTGTTTGAGTAACATCGAATACCTGCAGGTGGGGAGAATAGGGCTGGACGTCCCTTCCAAAATTTACTTCATATTCTTTCCATGTACAGAAGTCTGACAGGCCCTGCACGTAGTACACTTTGGAGATGAACAATGGACGGTGCCTGAAACGGACAGCTTTGCACTTCTCCTAGGAGGTTTAGAGGCCTCCCACTGAGGATGAGTCGTAACAAGATGTAACAAGTGCATCGCTACTAGTAACAAGGGCATCGCTACTAGTAACAAGAAGCTACAAACGTAGCGATGCGCTTGCTAAAAAGTAAAGAGCTCCCAGGAAGAGAGACCTATAGAGACACTGGAGCTTCACAGGGAACTCCGCGTACATGTGCAGGAACCTGTTTGTCGTCATACTACAACTCTCTTGAAGCATCTTGCACATCTATTCGCAGAGAAAGTACTACTCGTACTTATAACGACCCTACCAGTGGGGTTGGGGGTCAAGGGTGTGACCAGCTCTTCCTTTGCCAAGAAACTTGTTGCCTAGCTCCATCGTGCTCCCTGAGAGGACACTTCTTTTTGTCCTTCGGAAATGCATGGAAAGGCGGAAAGGTGAAGGTCTTCAAGAACAATGAACTGCAGGCCACTGCAGGACGGAAAGATGGGCAGAAGAATGGGCAGAACAGTCTGGCAGTAGCTGGCTCTGAATGTGTTTTTGTGTTCTACTTGGTGTGTCTTCCTTCCGAAAGGTAACGGCACCTTGGGGAGCTCACCGTGTGTTTCTTCGGCACCTTGGGGAGTTTGGGGGGCCACCAGTTCTGTTTTTTGTGTGAGCTACAGAGCTACGGCCATGAAGAAGAGATGAGTGAGGTAGACATCATGTTGGACCGATGTTTTGGTTGGTTCATCCAAAGAGCCAGCAACAGGCAGGCAAGATCTGCCGATGAAGAATTGAGACCCGACAGAGTGCCATGGGACCAACGCCGAAGCCTGGGCTTTCGAACAGCTGCAACAACGACCATGTTCGTCAACCAACGAGGAACTGACGGTCTAGATAGGGTGTAGACGGTAAAAAATTATCGGCCTGCAATCTAACCATCATCATCCACTGGAACCTGGCAATGGTGTATACATGTGTATACCAAAGGTCTGGATCATCAGGGACTTGCCAGTTGGAGCAAACAGCCACTCCGCTTGCGCGAATCAAGACTTGCCAAGGAAGGCTGTCGGACCTGACAAGTTAAGAATGTTGCCTCGCCCATCAGTCAAACAGGAGGAAAAGTGCATCTATTGCCTCTTGCATTGAACCATCTTGAACCCGAACTTCTGCCTTGAAACTGCTCCTTCCATCTCCTCTCCTTCACGTGGCCCCCCATCTCCACCCGAAGCCCATTGTTCGCAGCTCGGCTGGAAGCGGTCGCTGTTCATGTTGTTGAAGCTGACCTCGTTTTCTCGCTGTTCTCGGCGGCTTTTTGAGGGGTGGGTCGCCAGGACCCAAGAGTTACCATCAGATCACTCGCAGCTTCGTCGACGGCGATGAGCTCAAGTTGGGAGAGTACAACACGGCGGCAGCTGGGTCCATTTCATCGGGAGGACGCGGACGGTGTTTTGGTCCTTTTCGGGAGAGCTCCGGAGGCACCGGAGAAGGGCGGTGGAGTGTGGCGTTTTTTTTCTTTTTGTTGGGGGGGAATGTTGGAATGGTGCTTTGAATGGGTGAGTCAGGCGTTTGGGCAGGAGTTCCGGGAGGTGCTTTTTCCGCTTTGGAAGAATGGCGTGGATAGTGGATAGAGTGTCCAGTGTTGGGTACCCTGCTGCGAAAAATTGCAGCTTCTCCTGCAATGTACAAAAGCCGAGAAAAGCCTTAAGCCAGTGAAAATGTCCTTTGAGAATGGGTGTTCAACGGCTTTTCAGCATGCACAGTTCATAAAAATTATAGATATTTATATAGATCATAAAAGCTGGTCTAAGAAGATTAACATGTCCACTGTTCATGTTGCCTTTGAAGTCATATGTTGCCTTAGACTCCAACTCAGATTTCACATTTTGTGAAAGATGGCGTATTCGGCATGGCAGGAAGCGAACTCCACTTCATGTCAGTCACAGTCTGTGTTTTTGTGGGTGTCTCTGAAAAGAGGGAGATCACATGAGATCACCTGTAAAGAACCCATTTGCGAAATAGTGAAAACAGCTTGAAAAGCTGTCCAGAACCCACTTGTTGAGGGTGTTTCCCTGTGTTCATCCACACCATCAGCATGACAAAACCTCAACACTGTGCGTCTCTGGGTGTCTTTTGCGAGCTCTCCGGTCTGATCCTGGACGTCCTTGCCACCGGTCGCCGACCGGCCATCAATGGGACCTCGGGCACCCTAAGAGCAAACACACCACACCCGAAGTCTTCAGTCCAGATGTTCAGCTCAAGACTAAAGGAAATGGATGAGGCTCGGATCATCGGATCAGACCATTCTTCCACCATCTAAAGAATCCAAAGACCATGTTTCTTCAATGATCTAAAGACATTCTTCAATGATCTAAAGGCACCCATTCTTCAACGATCTGACCATTTGTTACCATCGTCTTATCCCTGTCGTCCCTGTCCATCCCAACGACATGGGATCTTCCACCGTGGTCCCGGCGTTGTCCATCATTGCCTGCACAGGCGTTGTGTGTAGGCATGGACCGCACAGCACATTTTCCACGTGTTGTTTCGCCTGTCGCTTCCCGCTGTTCAGATGTTCGGATGATAGATCACTAGCACTTTCCCAGACAGTGTTTCTGGCTAGGTCCGCTACGCATGCATCCCGTTCAACCTCAGCTGGCAGCATCCCATCTAGCTGAAAAAGCTTGGAAGCTCCATGTTTCACCCGAATGAACAGCCACTGAGCCACTGAGATCTTGGTGATTGCAAAGCTGTGGATCTCCTGCGAGGAGCGGATCGAGGCCACACCGGCCGGTCGAGTCATAACCGTGCTTCACCGTGGTTTCACCGTGTTTCACCGTGTCGGTTTGGGGGTGTTTGAGGAGATCCCTTGGTGACTGAGAGACCCTTGGTGTTTGAGGGTGAACCTGAACCTGGGATCGGAACTGATGTGCTATGATGAAGGGCATGTCCTTGAGGGTCTTGGGCAGGAGGCCAAAAGGACCCCGTGACTAGGCCTAGCAAATCGCAAGATCAGCCTTAGCTGATCTAAAGGGATGACAGTAGGACTAAACTGTGACATATGTGACATAGGAGTCCAAAATGATAGTACTATATAGTACTCAGATATTGTCCCTGTGGGTTGCGAATAACAACCACATCGGTGTTTGACCCTGAATAGTCTCCCTGGCTGGCTGGGAGAATGGAGAAAATAGTAAAGGTCCGATCCAATCATTTTAACCTAGCTTGGAACGTTGGCATTCCAAGTAACGTTTCGAGGAATCTCTTACTCGCCGCAATTGAACAGCTATGACGATTGTCACCAACCAGAAGAGCTTCCAAATCTCCCAATCACCATGCCGCAGATGACCTGCACCAAAGCCACCTTTCTATTCCAAACCCCCTTCCGAAAGCCACCGGTGTCCGATCCAGCTCGTTCGTTTTGAGCGATCCATCTCCCGGTGTCCGCACCAACAACGCAGCACGAGGGGGGGGGGCCGTTCCAGGCGAAGTGCGGCGCACGCACACCGTTGGGTCTCACCACCAACAACGCTGCTGGGACGGGCAGGTTGACGGAACGGGCCGGGCCAGCGGGCCGAAGTGGTGCGGTGCGGATGGCCGGTTCTGGCCTAAGTGCGGTCTGGCCGAATGGTCGGTTGGTTGCACTCTTTCTGGAAGACCATGTTCTTCTACAAAGAAATCTTGTTCCACTTCCATGACTATGTGAGGGAGGGAAAAGCCATTTAATAGAGGGGGATCAAGAGTACAGCCAAGAAGTGTACCCCTCTATTGTTTCCAGAAGGACGTCATTGGCAGTGCCTGCAGTGAATCCCATTGCCAAGGTGAACAACTTTCAGAGTCGTCGAACCATGGAGATGGCTGGCTGGTGCGGCTCTCAGGTCCAACGGAGGCTGTTTTAAGGATTGGAGAGTATCGAACACCTGTGCTACAGGCTACAGAAATATACAGTGTACTAATGGGTACTACCTTCTAAAACAAAGCTTCCCTGCAGCAGTACCCAGACTAAAGTTCCAAGAAGAAGGAAGGATCTGAGAAGCACAAAATACGTGTTCAAACCAGAAAAAACGCTGGTGTTGCGTTTTGAAAACAGTCGCTCGTCGAGAGCAGAACGTGGTCTTTCTACGATTCATTTCATGGCAAAGCTTTCTGCCAAATGCAGATCACTCCATCAATTAGGGGATCATACTGTCCATGTGTTACCATGTTTCTTGCGGGGGGGGGGATTTGAGCCAATTCATGGTCAACATGAGTCATGATGTTCGACATGGTCAACATGAGGAAACGAGTCGTATCGCATCGTGCGGCCGAGGACCTTCAAGAATTGGCAAGACGCGGACTTCAAGCACAAGAACTATAAGAAAGGAGTTCCTGGTGGGCCGCTTCCCTTGGACGTTTTGGCTTCAAACCCGGTGGGTTTCTTCGTTTCTCCAGCTGTTCGTGCGCGGTGCGGGGTGCCGGAAGGTGGAAGGTGGGAGAATGGAATCAAGCCTCCGGGATGAAAGAAAAACGTCGCGTTTGGCATGGCTTTGGGACTCGACATTTGCCAAAAGAAGCCGGCACAGAGGGAGGTTGGACAGACATGGGCTGACTTGATTTATGACCAAGTGCGACACCAAAAGGAACGGATGGGGGTGTGAAAGTAGGGAGATCTTCTTCTTTCGACCCCCGCCGTTGAGGGAAAATCGACCAAAGCCATCCAAAACCCAGCCAGGGCTAAGGGGTCCTTCTGTGAATCCCCTGGAAGTCCAATTTCGCTTCTCCGAAAAGGAATGTCCTGTACTTCAGTTGGTCAACAAAAGTCTTTGGACTTCTAGTATACAAACCCAGATCAAACCAATCGAACATGTCTTGACTTCTCATGACTTTGTCTCATGCCGTACTTGGTTCTCAGCTGTCTTTTCTTCAACCTCGGCTGTTTGTTCCACGAAACGGGTGACTTAGCGAGTTGTCGTGGCCGTTGATCAGGTCCTACTGGGGATTCCATGGTGGCGATAAAGCCCTGGAGATGTCGCTGATTCTGAAAGGCCAAGCGATGGCGATGAGATGCGATGAGCGATGGTGCCAAACCATAGTGGTTTTGGGGGTTCTTGACGAGGTGAGTGTCCTTAGGGGGAGGGTACGATGCATTCCTAGACTCGGGGAGCACGCAGATTACTCGCTACCCACCTTTATTGTGCGGGCTTTCTTGCAGTCTTTGGGCAGATGGGAAGTGAATTTGCGATCTGCACCAGCATCCGTTGGCAGGAAGTGGGCGCATAGCACTTTGGTACGGCAACCTGGATTTGTTTAGGGTGATTTGTTATTTTCCCTATGAGTTTGTTTCTACCCGGCTTCTTGGATGCTTGCCTTCCTCCAAGGCAAGCAAATCAAGCATGGCTCCGTCGAGGTGATGATCAACGACAAGCGACAGGATCAAATCAAGAAAGGCCGCCCCCCGGTCTCGAGAATCGCCCCCGCTCCCGGGCGCGGGGCCCTCCGCCTGACGTTCCAAGCTGGTCAAATGAGCCCACTGTTTGCAGGGATTACACACTGTGACAGGTGACACTTGCTGCATATGTTTTAACCGATTTAGCTGCTTAGCTGTATTGATTCATTGGCCTACTAAAAACCTTCTACTAAAAACCCTTAAGGCCCAAAGGTCAACATCGCAATGGGCTTTCCCAAACGAGAAGCTGGCCAGTTTGTCTTCGAGCAGGCAAGAAGGTGTTGAACAAGTACTTGGAGTTGAGCTTCAAAGATTCTTGGCATTCGAACGGCCATGTGGTCAGACGTCCCGACGTCCAACCAGCCCGAACATGTTTGGCAATTCCTAGATGTAGAAGGAGCCTCAGCCTCAGCCAGAAATGGTTTGTTTAGGGGAGATCGCGAGTCCCTGCGCAGAGTCCAGTCTTGCGAGACGGTCCTTTGGTTCATTTGGTTCCAAAATCTGCTCATGTTCTGGATGCACATGTGCTCATTTATGATAGTGTGCAGGTTCCTTCCCTTTCTTTCTTCGTGTTTATCTGGAGAGTCACTCTGGTGTGCTGTTTTTTCAGTCTGCTGATAACCGACGGCTATATTGCTTCAACATCACCAAGAAAGTGTCCATTTTGCAAATATATATATATACTGGCACAGTTACTGGCACATATCATGGCGTGGTTGAAGCCAGGTGGTGCCCACTGCCACTGCGATCTGGTACTTGTGGAGGAGGAGGAGGAGGCGAGGAGAGGAAGAGGAAGAGGAGGAGGAAGAGGAGGAGGAAGAGGAGGAGGAAGAGGA